CTCTGCTCGCAGAGTCCTGCTTCACTTGGCTAGGGTGCGCGTGCTCGCGCTTCATGCTTGGTAGGGCTTCTTTCGGTTTGGTCTTGGGGTTTTTCGTGGCTTCGGGTGCCTTTTGTTTGGGTTAGGCTTGCTCCTGCAGGACGCCTTTTGCTCAGGACCTTAGGCATAGTTGCTCTACCTGGACGCTACTGCCTCGACAATGACGACTCCGCTTGTTCCCTACACTCCCCTGGTCCCTTGGTCCGCTGGTCCTCTGGTCCCTTTGTGTATTCCCGGCTCGTTTGTTGTTTCGCTGCGCCTGCTGCAGCGCCTGCTGCATGCGCCTCCTGCTGTGCCTGCGCACCCCCCCACCCGCCCGCTTTTTTTGCGCCAGGTTTTCAAAAACCCAGAACCCGTGATATCCCGTGATAAAAGGTGTTTGCAAATGGGGAGGGCTGCGCCCCCCCACCCCCCGCTTTTTTGCGCCATGCAGGGTGGCTTTCAAGAAAACCGCACCATCAGCAAGAATTGCGTCAAACATGTAGCTGTTATGGCGTCATCATACGGGAAGTCTGTTTGCAAATGAGCCGTTTGCAAATGGGGGCTGCCCGCCCCCCAACCCCCCGCTTTTTTCTATGCCATGCAGGCTGGTTTTCCCCAGAACCCGTGACAAAGGTGTTTGCAAATGCGGGGGGCTGCGCCCCCGCAACCCCCCTCGCTATTTTTGCCCCATGGAGGCTGGCTTTCAAGAAAATAATGAAAATAGCACCATCAACCAAAAATTGCATTAAACACGTAGTTGTTATGGCTTTTTTGGTGAAGCCATCATACAGGCAGTTTGTTTGCAAATGAGGGGGTGTGTTCCCGCCAACCGCCCCGCGCTTTATGTTTAAGCTGTGCAAGATCGCTTCAGGTATCATCCTAGCAAAAGACAAAACCCATATGGACTCTCTCAAAACCCGTGATACAGGCGTTTGCAAAAAGGGGGGGTGCATCCCCCCCAAACCCCTCCACAAGATTGCTTGAAGTATCCACGCACCAGCAAAGACAGAACCCAGATGGACCCTCTCAGAGCCCGTGATAAAGGTGTTTGCAAATGGGAGGGGGGCTGCGCCCCCGCGAACCCCCGCTTTTTTAACACCATGCAGGCTGCCTTTCAAGAAACTCGCGCCCTTTTTAACAGTCATCATACAGGCAGTCTGTTTGCAAATGAGGGGCTACTTCCCCCCCGAAACCCCCCCACAAGATCACTTCAAGTATCCTCGCACCAGCAAAGACAGAACCCATATGGAACCGCGCAGAACCCGTGATAAAGGTATTTGCAAATGTGGGGGGCCGCCCCCAGAACCCGCCCCCCACCTTTTGTTAGCGCCATGCAGGCTGGTTTTCCAAAAGATCGCACCATCAACAAGACTTGTGTCAAACACGTAGTTGTTATGGCGTTTCTTTAAGTCATCATACAGGCAGTCTGTTTGCAAATGAGGGGCTGCGTCCCCGCCAACCTCCCCGCGATATTTGAAGTTGTGCAGGATCGCTTCAAGGTTCATCTTACTCCCCAACCCCAACTCGCTTAGTAGTTCATGCTAATTTCAGTTGAAAAGAACATGGTGTTCTTCCTATTCAAACAAAGAGAAAGTACAGGACTTCGCAATCGACATCCCCGAATAGCTTCGCGTAAGACAAAGGCTTGCAACTCGGAATTCCCGACGAGCTTCGGCACAGAAATAGCCCTGCAAATGCTACTTCCCCAGTAGTTTGGAACAAAAGAAAGTCCAAAACTAGGACTTCGCCAATAGCTTGCTGCAGAAGAAGACCCAAATCGAGTTTCCCCAATAGCTTGGTGCAGAGGAAGGAATAGCTTGCTGCAAATCTAACTGAACGGACCCCTCAGCCAAACCTTCTAAAAAACACGGTTTGGCCAAACCTTCTAAAAAAACCCTCCGCCCGGATCACAGATGCCGAGAAAATCGCAGCCCATCAGATGTGCTGCATGTCGTGGCCGTTGTGCGCACTTTTTAGCCAGCAGTTACGATCTCAAAGGGCATGCGGCATGCTCATCACCGCATTCAGACAGAGCGCGGTGTTTGGCACTGACCGGAAAAGAGATCTGCGGCGTGCCACTTGCAATGCAGCCGTTTTGCTTGGGGACATCGTGGCATCTTCACACCGAGCTAGGCCAGATATGGAGCGACCTAGGATTCCTCGTGACATATGACCACCAGCCTGTGGAGAGCCCTGCGCGTCAGAATTGCTTGTCTCTGGCTTTGCGGAGCCAGGATGCCGAAGCCTTTCTCTCAGACGACGAGGCCCGGTCCGGCTTCTTTTCGTTGGAGAGGTCTGGGCCATTGGGGAGAGGATTAAAAGGAGAGAGAAAAGGTGGGAGGCAAACAGGGAAGCTTGGACCGCTTGTATGCTCTTCTGTCTGCCTCGTTCTTGTCGTACAAGTACACATACTCGTATAGCAGTCGTAGCAGTGGCCAGTGCGATGTTGTCGTAGACCTCCCAAGTCTCTGCAACGCTCGACACGCTCTGAAGGCTGCGCTCCGACGAGCCGCCCTGTTGGCTGTGGCGGCACTGCCGCTTGGCCTTGGAGCTTCCCGGTGACTTCCAACAGTTTATCCGTCAAGGAGGAACTGCCGACAAGACTAGTTTGCAGTGAACGGCCTACAGTACCGTCTGACTGCTTCATTCAGACGTGGGCGAGATTTATCTTCTGCCCCTATAAGGTCCGCATCCATGGGTGAAGAAGGTCGAGCTGCCGGCCTCCCAGCATCCACTCGGCTTGCGTTGGAGTGCAGTTTCTTGATTGTCAGCTCTTTGGTTCTACCGTGCAAGGCAGCCCTCAGCTACGTGCTGGAGAGGCAGTGACGTTTGTCATGGCTCGTCACAAATTTGGGCGAGAAGCAACGCATGCTTTGTCCCAGAAGAGACTTCATGACACTCTTGCGTAGGACGTTTGTATGGAAGTCATGCAGTCATCGCGGTTCACGTGTGCATGCATCGACACCTGCCAGGGTACAAGACTCGGATGCAGAGATGCGTGCCGTTGCGATGCAGGGGCCGAGTGCTTGGTTCCTTTTCACCTGAGAAGTGTGTTGTGGCCGGAGCTGTGATGTGACGGCCTTGCTGCACTGTTTTCACGCTACCAGCAAGAGCAACGCGAGCAACACAGCACGTTCCTTCTCACTGCCCGCATCTTCGAGGATTGCACGTCTTGCGGACCCCGGAGACCGCGTTGCCCTCAGGCGAGCGCAGGCCGCTCTCAAGGCAGCGAAAGGGCCCCCTCCGCTTTCTGAAGTTTGGGAGGTTGCGGGGGTTCAGGAGGACATAGGCCATAAGCAGCTCATACGCTAAGTCAGGTTGGTTCATTCTGTCACGTCGCCGCTCAAGGCATTGCGGCATGTTGCTTCAGTGGCTCTCCCTTTGGCACAGGATAAATCTCCGCCTGTCCGCCGCGAAGCCCTCCGAGCGCTACAAAGTCTAGCTTTGCTCTCGGTCCCCGAGACCGTGTGCTTGAAGATGAACGACGCTCTTGTTTCGGTGTCTGTCTGTGTCGGCGTTCAAGGTTGTCACGGTGGACAAGCGCCTGCTTCGAACTGTGACTAGTATTTCCGTTAACGACGCTTGGTGGCAATACTTGAAAGCAGGCCTCGATTCAGCCTCGGCCCAAGTGCGCCCGCACGTGTGTGTGCGTGTGCGTGTGCGTGTGACCGTTTCTCTGACTGTCTGTCTTTCCGTCTGAGTCTTCTGCCTCAGGATAAAGACCTGATTGTCCGCAAGGTGGCCGAAGAGGCGGGGTTTGAAAGGAGCGAGGATGGATGGTCAATTTCGTGTATATCAGTTGCAGGTCCTTGAAAAACTTCAAGGGTGCCCGTCCTCTCGCGGGTTTTGTGCTTTCTGTGTGGGCGCCCAGCATGTTCAAGGGATAGGTGGACACTTGATTCGCGAGTCAGATGCATGTGTTTTGGTCCACCATTCTGCAGGTCACAGATCTTGACATCCCGCCGGCAACAGCCACTGGGCAAGCAGCGGGAAACCCTGTGAATGCCAAAGATTCCAAATGTAACGGCCCCTCTACGTGGGCTCAGAATTGAAGGTTTGCATCAAAGAGGGCAACCGGCCTGTGCTTCTTTGCCCAACGTGTCTGCCCGGTGTGCACAGATACGTTTGGTGTTTTGCGAGGTTGTACGCCACGTGCTTGAGAGCTGTCTGGCTTTCCGGCCCTGAGTGTCTTCTGACGCTCAAGAACCGCACAGACTGCAGCGAAGGTTTCTCTGTGTTGAAAACGTCAGCGGCCTTTTGAAAGCCTCCACTGCAGACCGTAGCTCAATTTGTTAACATCTTGAGCGGCTTTGTGGAGGAACTCATGAGCAGAGGTTGTGCTGCACCAACCAGAAGGAGCAGAAGACACAGACAGATTTCAGCAACACTTCGGTTCGATGCTCCCTTTTGGTGCGACCTGCACATTCGATTGTTCGAGATTGCCAGGAGCACGCCTTAAGTCTTAGGTAAACCACCATGGTTGCAACAGCATCAAGCTTTCTGGCAATGTCAACGGGGTCCTGCCATTAGCTGGCGAGCCGGCTTTGCAAAGAATGGCTCGGACTGAGATTTTTAATATCACCCATGCTTCCCTCGAAGAGGGCAAGCGTTCGGTCGTGCCACACGCCAGTAGTAGTGGCACTTCCTCCCAGCAAGAAGACACCAACTCCACCAAACAATGTTGCTCTCGTTCTTGTGCGCCGACGCGGTCCTATTTCATTTCAGCTAATTCAGTTTCAGTCGCAGCAAGCGTCAACAAAAGGCGCAGGGCGAAAAAATGACGTGGCCCGGTACTCCAATAATCGAATAGGAGGCCTAAGATCAAGAGGGTGCTGCCGCAGTCTGCCAACATGCGGCTTTGGAATTCGAAACAGAATTGATCTACCATTCAGGTAGACTAACCGTGAATGGCTGTTGATGTACAATGTTACAATGACGTCCCATAGAAGCTTGTCTGCATTCGCGGTTTCGCCCCGCAGGGAGCGAAGCAAAACATGCCGAAGAGTGAGTCTGGACCTGAGGCGGCGAAAGCGGAGGCAAAGATGATACATGATACATCCTGTCGTAGCTGTGAAAGACCTGAGGTTGGAGCTCCTTGCCTCACGCGCGGTGCTTGCCATGCTTTGTGTTTTGGGCCTAGCTCAGCTTCAGAGTGTGGTGCTAGTGAGAACTTCGCAGCATTTCGCTACTGTGGAGCCTGTCTCACCCACTGCAGGTTCCATTTCAAGAGAACTCAGACATCCAGGCTGCGAGAGTTCAGCAGCTGACAGGATCTCACAGCCAAGAAGCCAGTAGGCCGACGTGGAACTCGTTCTCAAGTTTCGCCCGAGCTTGGTTATGCTTGGCTCAGAGCAGAGTACGACGAGACACCAGCAACCGACACAGGGAGTCACGGCAAGTCGCAACGGGTGCCATGGCAGCTTAGCAAGGCGGAAGGAGCCAGAGGAAATGATACCAGTGCCTGGCCGGGCCGGGCCACATGTCGCACCTTGCTCGCAGCCGCGGCGCCGCTCTGGTCGTTCATGGCGCCGGCTGGGAGCAAGACCCGCGGTTGCAAACAGAAGTGAGATTTTGAACCCCAGGGCCAGGAAGGAGGCCCACAAATCAAGAATCGACGTATTCAAATACTGTTGGGCCGCCTTGGAGGCCAACGGAACTTACTTGGCAACTCCTGCAGAATACCAGGGCGCCATGGTCTACCAGAACAGACGCTCGGCTTGTGCTGGACATGTGAAGCGACCCGCGATCCAGACACAGGTCCGTCACCTCAGCCACAGTAGGCCACCAAACATAAACGAGGCAGGCAAGGGTGTAGACACGTTTGCTAGTGCTCTCGAGGTTCAGGGGCCGTGCATGCACACGCTTGGTGCTTAAGCCTGAGATGCCAAAGGTGGCCCGTTACTGTAGGCATTGCGAGCTTCGATGTAGACGGAAGGGATGCGAGATGATGTGAGCTTCGCATGGAACCTCAGACTCCTTGGCGAGGTCAAGGCTTCCTTGTGAGCTGCGAGCACCAGGAGTGCTGGCAAGGCCCGAGCGCGGAGCTCAGTCGCTTGGCTTTGGGCAGCTCTTGGAGCGAGAGGCTGGATCCTGGGCCTTGCCGGACATCCGCTCTATGTGGGCGAGCCTCTCGGTGTATGAGCAAACATAGGCAACTCTGACTCTCGCAGGCGTGCTGGGGGACTCTCTGCCCTGCCCTAGCCGCCCTAGCCCTAGTCTAGCAAGGTAACGATCTGCAGGCTATCCATTGGCCAAGAAGCAAGCGCGCGAGTGACACTGTGACACTGCGCGGGCATCTGCGCGCAGAGCACTCTCTTCGATGAGCACTAAACCGGGTCCGTCAAGCCGAAACTTCACCTGCAGGTTGAATCGCACCAGCTGAATAGACACCGATGATGACGACTACTGTCATGGTGATGATTGTGGTGATCAACATCACCCTCATCAACATCATTATCATGGTGCTAGGCTTATTCTTGTTGCAGGGGTCGTCCTGGTCCGTTGGGTTGCGAGTGCTACTACCTCTGTTTGGTTACTTCTCCTCGTAGCTGTTTACTCTGCTGCTTACTCTGCCGCCTGTGCCTCTTGACCTGTCAATCTTCCTTCAGCGTTTTCCGTTGCCACCGCTTGGGAAAGGCTCCGCCGGCAAAGTGCTTCTTGTGGAGAGCACGCGGCAAGCGTTCGGTTTGGTTCAGCAGGCAGCTTCGACTGCCGGTGCTCCAGGTCCATACCCGCTGCGCAGCAAGAGGTGCCCGGTTCATGGCGTGTGGTCCCAACCTGGGGCAAGGACACACGATGACATGGCCATAGAGAGTTCAGCATTTCGGTTAGCCGGTTGCCAGCAGATTCAGTCGTGGTGCAGGAGCCAGCACCGAGTGTGACTGCAGCCTCCTGGCTGAGCAGCTGCTGGGGATGTCTTCCAGTCTCTTTGAAGTAGCAATTGGCCACGCGTCCATGCAAATATCGGAAGGGTGTCAACCTTGGGAGATGAAGTTTGCAGAGCCACCAAATAGGCGACAATTTGGGTTTGAGCTGCCGGGTCTCGGCCGGGTCGCATGTGAGGTCTTCACGGTTGCAGAGGCGACCCTACTTCAGCTCCAGGGAGCTTTGGCTTCAGCCGAGGAAGGGTGCAGTCACGCTGCGGAGTAGGGTCGGCAGGCCAGTTCCAGACAGATTCCAACTCTGAAGGGCACGGCCGCGAGCGGCAACTTCGATGATGCGCAGGCTTTGCTTGACGCCGCTCAGGCTGGTCGGCCCGCTGGGATTGCTAGGCCTAGGCCCCTAGGCCCCTAGGCTCGAGGCGCCAGGCGAAGGCCTGGAGCCTGGAGGATGTGACGCCAGACAAGCTGCGGCGGAGTACACACGTAATGTGCCGGAGTGTTCTTGTGGCATTCGTTCCAGAGCACCACTGCGGTCTGAATTGCAATCGTAGCCACGCGATTATCTGTCTGTGAGTTTTCCGGGAGTTAGGATGACGCCGAGCACCTCATCGATCATGCAGACAAGTGCCTTGACTGCACCACGACCTGAAACCAGCGCAGCATGGCAGCATGGCAGCTCCCAGCCGAGTCCGGGTCTCGCGCTGGCGCTGCAGCGGCTGCAGTGTTTGCGGGAGGCTCTGCCCTGGCGTCGGGCGTCGGCGCTTAAGAGCCAAGGAGGGGCAGAACATCGCAGACAGATTTCCTGGTTCCCGGTTCTTTCCGCATTCCGCCTGTCAGGTCTCGATGCTTCGGATGTCGAGGAGCGACGAAGAGCATCTTCTGCTGGAGTGCCAGTGCTCTCAAACACGCGGTTCGTCCTGTCAGCTCCAAGTGTTGCGTTGGCAGGATTGGGACGCAGCTCGGCGATTCTTCGAAACGGCTTTGTGGCACATTGACTCGTGCGAGTCGAAGGACCTCGGAATTCCCACGCCCCAGATGTGCCGCCGAGGTCCGTGTACCCGGGCTTATTCAGGAGTCAGGCAATCTGCGCCAAGAGCTGCGGGAGCTCTTAAAGCAATGCCCTGAGCCACCCAGCTGCAGAGAAGCGTTTCCACAGCGTAGTGCGGTGTCGTGTGCACACGGTCTGGGACGCTGGGCAGACCAGCCTTCTTTCGGCTGTCGGGAATTTAGGCGCATTGTGATGAGTCGTCTGCGGGCGGCCCAGAAGGCCTGCGAACCACAGCTGCAGACGGCGGGTATTCTGCCGCTCCGGAAGGGTGTTCCAGCCATCCACTTGGCGATCGGATCTTTTTGAGACCCGAAACGAGTGAAGCCTCGACCGGAACAGTCGATTTGGGATGTAGACTGGCATTGGCCTCATTAGCCCACGCAGTGAAGTGCGGCCTTAATGAGGGCAGGGGTAGAGTTAGAGTGTCAGCAGGTGGATAGCGACAATGCCTGAGATCTTGCCGTCTTAGGATGCACAGCAGTGGCTGGACTGCGCAAGCTTGCTTGAAACTTGGACTGAGATTTGGAAGTGCGCAGAACATGCACGGTTGGTGGATGGGTGTGAATCTGAACTCATAGCCGTTGATGTACCTGTCCTTGCATGTTACAAGAATGTCACAGCTTTGAAGCTTACTGTGCATGTGCCTCGGAGGTTTGACAAAGTGTTTGAAGAAAAGCATGACAAGGAGTCAGTGCGGCAGCATGCCAAAGACGCAGCTGCGGCTGGCACGTGTACCGCTTCGTCTTGGGAGGAGCAGGCCCGAAGTTCAGATCAGTGTCGCAGTCTCCTTCGTCGAAACTTCTCAGCTGGTCCAGGCGAAGCATCTACAGCTGCGGTGTGTCTTGGGCCAGGCCAAGGAGACCCACGTTGTAGCACAAGTACGCATGTGTTGCAAGTGGCCCTGGAGAGTTCGAATCCCTGGTCCATACTCTTGCAGGAGCTGCAGTGCCGCGGCGACGAGGTGCCTTCCGTTGTAGAACCTCCAAGCACTTTTTCATTGCAGAGTGGTTGCCTCTTTTCCGAGGCTCGAGGGTCCACACGTGACGGCTATGAGTCCGCGGCAACAAGCTACACTGCTGCGCTGCAACTACTAGAGCCACTGGAGGGCACAGGAGATGCAGAGGGCCAGAATTTGATGGCAGGGTGTCACAAAAGGAGTCAGACTTCACACCGACGGACAGGAGCGCCGGCTGCGCTAGCAGCGGAGCTGAAAGAGGGCATGCAAGGCTTGGCAGTGCTGGCCATGGGCCAGGCCAGGAATATCAGTGAAGGCAGAGATCGACCGTAGACTTCAGACGTGGGCTACAGGTCGAAGCAGCCCTGGGCGACGAGTCTCTCGAGGAGATTCCGGGCTGTTCGGTTGTTCATGCATCATTCGTGCTCGCTGCAGCCGCCATGAGCAAGCTCTGGACGTAGTCTCAAGTGCTGGGATCGCAGGCAGGTGTCGAGATCGATGGGCTCCTGGCCTTTGCCGATCGGGTCCTGAGGAAGGCCAAGGCAGGAGGGGCGGGGCTTCTTGAAGTACTGGTAGCTACCTGTACTGCCTCCTCTGTATCTGAAGGGTACTTGTATATCTTGTATCGTGTATCCCAGCTCCGAAAAGTCAACTGCAAGCACAGTTGAGTCACTGAGCAAGTCGCATCGTTGCATGATTGGGCACGTGAAGGCTCGAGCCTAGAGAGTCTCTTTGGGCAGCTACGCGAGGGCTCCGAGGTCCTCCGCGTGGAGTTGGAAGCACTCCAGGAGGCGACCGAGCAAGCAAAGCACCCCGGCAGAGCGCGTTCCCCTGGCCCTGCACCCATTCGCTATGAGTCGGCTTTGCTTCCAAAGTTGTAGAAAACTCAGATGTGGAAGAGAGGAGGTGATCTTCTTGGTTTGCCGAAAGTTGCTAGAATGTTGAATATGTGTGCTCCGTATATGATGCCAACAGTAAGGCCGATGCAACCCACGAGCTGGCCCTCGTGACCTGAGGATTTCTGAGCTGCGTGCATCTGGCGAAGCGGCGGCCGAGCGTGGGGACTGGCAGGAGGTGCTGCACAAATCTCGGAGCATGGTCGACATTTGCTGTTCCGATGCTTGTAGGCTTCAACAGAGGGCCTGGGCTTCACGTCTTTAGCAGCATTTCACATGCCTTTCTTGATGGCGTTCCCTGGAAGGCTGATGCTTGCTGGGCAGCGGCGCTGCAGCTAGTCTCGGAGAGCCAGGCAGTCCGACACCATATGCCCGCATCTACACCAATTGACCTCCGGGCTTCAAGATTTTGGGAAGAACTCAAGATTTTGGGCAGAATCCCTAGGATCTAAAGTTTGCACGGAG